ATCGTCTGACCTTTTTTTAAAAACTTTTTAAAATATTTTTTACTACCAGTTCTGCGAACCAGTAGCATTTTTTACTACCGGTTCAGGAGAACTGGCCCGAACTGGTAGCATTTCATCCCTGCACAGGGCCAACCTGGAAACAGTGAAGGGCTGGCCCACATCGCCTCTGCCAGCAAGAATGGAGCTTGGGAGGGTTGCACGCAGCCTTCCCAAGCTCCATTTTTGCTCGCAGAGGGTTGTGGGAGCCCGTTTTTGCTGGCAAAGAACTTGGGCCACCACCTGACATGAGTGACATTGAACTGGCCACGCCCATCCCGCCCCTCCAAGATCAAACACACCCCTGATGCGGCCCTCAATGAAATAGAGTTTGACACCCCTGGTCTAGAGTAATGTTTTTCCTCAACCTTGGGAACTTTTTAACTCCCAGGATTCCCCAGCGAGGTGGCTGGAGAATCCTGAACTGATCTCCACCCATCTTAAAGCTGCCTGAATTGAGAAACATACCGCTTTAGAGCAGTGGTTCCCAAACTTGGCAACTTTAAGACTTGTGGACTTCAACTCCCAGAATTCTCCAGCCAGCAGAGCAGAGCTGGCTGTAGAATTCTGGGAGTTGAAGTCCACAAGTCTTAAAGTTGCCAAGTTTGGGAACCACTGCTTTAGAGAAATGCCTTGCAACAGACCAGAAAGGGAAGAATATAATTTTACCTCAGGAAGTTCATCTTGCTGCTCTGGGCCCGCTGGGGAAGGGCAGTCAACTTGATCAAACTGAACAATTTCTGGGGAAGAAAGAGAGGCAAAACTGAAAGCAATGACAAATAGGACACTTGATCTGTTTCCCATCTGCCTTCCCTGCTTCTGTGGTCTTCTTTTTGATGGCCACAACAATCTTGCTTTTTCTTTCTTTTGGCAGAATTCTTTCCATTATCTGTGATTTAAATCAACGGTGAGGTCCTTGGAACGCTCTCAGAACTTGACTATTTTCTTGCAGACGTTTCATTACCAAACTAGGTAACATCATCAGTGCTAGAAGGGAGTGGGGTTTGGTCTCGGTTTATATACAAGTGGCTTGCCCTGTCAGTGTTGGTGGGAATGGCCTTAGTGGCTCTTTGATTAGGCTGTTGTTTACATTGATCAATCATTTGTCTGAGTTGAATGGGGTATTGTTTACTGCTTGAATGTTGGTCTAGTACTTAGATCAAGTTAAATTAGAGATGTTGCCTGCAGCAAAGCCCAAGTGATGCATACCAAGCTGATATCACTGGATTATTTATTTCATCCAATTTTTATATACGGCCGTGCTCCAAAATCTAATTCCAAGTGATTTACATATAAACTCTGTATAGGTAAAGGTTCCGCTTGCACATATGTACTAGTCGTTCCCGACTCTAGGAGGCGATTCTCATCTCCATTTCAAAGCCGAAGAGCCAGCGCGGTCCAAAAATGTCTCCGTGGTCAAGGGACCAGCATGACTAAACGTCAAAGGTGCATAGAATGCTATTACCTTCGTACCAAAGTATTTTTCTACTTGCATTTTTACGTGCTTTCGAACTGCTAGGTTGGCAGAAGCTGGGACAAGTAATGGGAGCTCACTCCGTTATGCGGCGCTAGGGATTCGAACTGCCAACCTTTCTGATCGACAAGCTCAGTGTCTTAGCCACTGAGCCACCGTGTCCCTAAACTCTGTATAGCCCTGTTCAAACTAGAAAACTTCTTTTTTTCCTCACCCTCCAGAGGGTCTTTGGTGAGTCCCAGTTGACTGATAATGTAACGTGGAATGTCTGTTTTGATGCCTTGTCCAACTTTCGCATGACCTTCGGCAGCCTCCAGGAGGTGATAAAATTCTTCCGGGTCAAACTCCTTGAAGGCGGAGAGGGAAGAAGCAGCGGAGAAAATAGAAAACCATGAGCTTTTTCAAAGTAAGGCTTAGCAACTTAAAAGTAATAAAAACAAATGGAATTAATCAAAAGTCTTCCTCCACAACCAACCAAAGGCTATGGAAATGAGCAGGCCTAAAATAAGTCACAAGAGCTCTCCTTCTTTGCCTGGACCTCTCACAATTAGGGACCGTTAACAATCCAAGATGGATCCCTTCCATGAAAGCAAATAAACTGTGAAATCTAATCTGTAATAATGTCATGCACTCTGAGAAGACCAAATGATTTTTTTTATCTTGCACTCAATTCAGAGCCACAGCAGGAACAGCGCCAAGGCACAGGAAGCAACAGCTTCCTTGGCTCCGAAAATCAGAAGACAAAAGTTTATCTATAAATACCTAAGATTGCAGTTCCCCTGTCTCTGTATGGTTCCTGCCTGGAACCATCACTCATCTCAACTTGGAGCCATCTGGAAAACTCAAGCTATCGTCTCCTGGTGCCATCACGAGAAACAGAGTTATTTTCATTTCCAAGAAAGCTTCCATTCCCATATTTCAGGCTGTTTGCAATTATGTACTGGCCCCAATGAATTCTCACCAAGGAATCCATCTTGCACACGTTGCCTTGCAAACATTGCCAGCAGCAACAAGCATCCAAAAGTAGACATGAGGGCTTCGTTAGCTATTATTGTTAATAGCCAGGAATAGCCTCTCCAGTTCAGCGTATATGTTTCATCTTTTTTACTAAAAGAAGTTAAAACACAAGTGGAGGCTCGAGCGAACCAAGATAAAGCATCTACTGTACAGTTAGCACTGTTTTTTAAGGATAATTAGCCAGAGTGTTTTAAATTCAGTAAGGCTAAGTAAGGTAAAAGTAAAGGTTCCCCTTGCACATATGTGTTAGTCGTTCCCCATTCTAGGGGGCGGTGCTCATCTCCGTTTCAAAGCCAAAGAGCCAGTGCTGTCCGAAGATGTCTCTGTGGTCATGTGGCCGGCATGACTAAACGCCAAAGGCGCACGGAACGCTGTTACCTTCCCACCAAAGCGGTCCCTATTTTTCTACTTGCATTTTTTATGTGCTTTTGAACGGCTCATTGGAGTCAGGCCCTTCTTCTCATAGAGTTTTAGAATACTTTTCTGTGAAGTAGATTCTTCAAAATCCATGTGATGTTGAA